ACCAGCAAAGTTAGAAAGTATTAAATTAAGGTTCTGTATTTACAAATGAGCATCAAAGCGTTTATTTGAAAGTGATTTTATTCAATTTTATCTCTTTATTTATAATAATTCCTGTAGACCTGTGACCTCTTCGTCCCCTCGTTGCTTTGATTCCATTATGCCTAGTACAGTAAAGTACTGTACTAGTCCTCTGATAAAATCACTTTCAAATTAGCGCTTGGATGCTCATTTGTAAATACATAACCTTCATTTAAAACTTTCCAACTTTGCTGGTTTCTACTGTGCTTGGTTTGGATTGTGCTGGCTTGAAAATACTAACTATACCGATTTGCATCGAAGCGTTTTTTCGAAAGTGATTTTATAACTTTCAGATTTAAAAATTCCTGTAAACCCAACTATGCTCTGTCCTCACTATGCCCCGACCCTACTGTACTGTTTTTTTTTGCAAAAACGTAGTGGACCAAATAACACATATACAATGTTTTGTTATATTTTGTTGGAATGGTCGACGATTCATGTTTCAATCGTTTGTACTCCATAGTTTATATTATAATCGCTTATTCTCAATAAAATTAAAATTTATGTATTATATATTTCCATTAGAGGAATCTCACACTAACTATTTATACTTTATATATTATATAACTTCTATGCTCTATTTTACTTCTATTTTACTAGATTGACAATGTACAAAATCGACGGGGTGCGAAATAAACCGGTTTTCCGTCATGATTAAAACTAGAGCAATATTTAGTTGAATAATAAGTAATAACAAATGATACAATTTTTTTTAAACAGTGCTCTACATTTTAACGTATTTCTTTTAATAAAATCTTTCAACTTTCCTCATATATTTTAATAGCTTTAAAAAACAAAATATATATTAAAAAAACACTATTTATAATATAATATTAAATATTAAAATATATTTATAACTTCTGAATAATTATGACAAAATAAATTTGTTATTGTTATTATAATAAAAATATTTTAATGGTAATATGAATAATAAAAAATATATTTAAAAATGCTGTAATATTCTTAACTTTTGATTTGGTTTCTGCGATATCATTTTTTTGAGTTCAGATTTTTTAGAAGACCATTTACATTCCTTAAAAATGTTGACTGTAAAAAACAATTTCATTATATACTCATAATGTTTAGCCCATCCTTGTGGCACAATATTTTTGGGTATATTATGATTTTCTCGACTCATTAATTGATGAACTATTTGTTTTTCACTTTTTATGTTGTTGAAATTTTGTACAAAAACATTTAAGCATATTTTTGTGAAAAGCTTTAGATTTTCAGACGGGACCTTTAAACTAAAATTAGAATTTAGTTCAATTTGTTTAAATATTTTATGTACAATTAATAGTTCGTTTTTATCGTCTAATTCCTTATTTGACTTTTATAAAACATTTTTACACTCTTCACATTTAAATTTATCTAAACATCGTTTAGCTAAGTATCCTGCAAAGTAAGGATAGAACACTCTTCCAAAGACGACGTCTGATTTTCGTCAACGGGTGATTCTATCAATGAAGAACTTGTATACGTTGTAGAATGGTTCGAAAAGTTATCTGACAAGTCTATATTGTTATTATCATAAGAGTTATTATCATCTGGTGTTACCGCGGCTGTATTTTTTATATTTTGCTCTAATACATCTAAGTTCAAGAACTCATCTTCATCCGATTCGCAGTTGCATTCTGAAGCTCTCATCAAAGAAAATGAACAAATACTAGTAAAACTACTACGAAACATCCTTGCTGTGGGATTTCTCGTGTAACCATTTTTTTGTCTCATTATTGAGAACATATTTTCCAGCGGGTCTTGGTTCAATCTATTGCAAAATAAAAAAAATTCTTGATTTTGAGGTAAAAAATTTGTCATATCTAGCGGTTCGGATTCATATAAATGCAATATCGCTGTTAATGACCATTCCATACCAGTAAAACATGGCGGGACTGAAATTTTTTTACCTAGATGTTTACTGTTACACGTGTCAAATGTATCATTTATTTCTAATAAAAAGTCTGCAGTATCATTTGCCGTTTTTGTTATTAATTGTCCCGTTTGTATGCATGTTTTGATGGCTGCAGCTACACTATTGCTAAATATTTGTACAGCTAGTCTGCATGACATTTTTTGAAAGGGGTTTGGACTAAGGTGCTCAGGTGTTATTTTGCACATTGCTCGAGCTTTAACACTTTTAGAATCAATTTCATAAGCTTTTATTATATCTTGAAAGCTAATGATTTTATTTTGAACTTGTATATCTCCCGTCAAGAAATTGTTTCTTAAACTTTTAATAAGATGTGGGATATCATAAATTAAATATATTTTTTCGCTATGTATGGTTGTTATTGGATTTGAAGCAGTTCCTCCAAGAAGGGAAAATAACTTTTGATTTTGTGTCCCCTGATCACAAACAATGGCCTTTGGTAATAACCCAATGTTTAAAATATGTTCAACGATTTTTTTAATCAGAATATTTAAATAATTTCCACTAACACCGTTATTTGGCAAAAAATAGCACAACGGAAACTTCCAGTTTTTATAAAGCCCTCTCACCATAACTACTAAAGCGTGTTTAGCATATTTACATGAACGACCAAGTGGTCCTAAATCTTCAAATCCCTCGATCATATCAAGGGCTTTATTATACTCAGTTAACTTCATGATAGACACTTCGTCATGTAGTATGATACATTTTCTATCGCTATAAGACATCGAAGACACTTTAAGTTTAATTTGTTGTAAGTATCCTCTAACAAACCCAGGGAGGTATTCAATTGATTTCAACCAACGTCGGATTGTACTTTCCGCGGGTAATATGATACCATTTTTTCTCATATATTTATAAGCCGAAGGTGACTTATAATACAATGATAACGCGAGTTTTTTTTCTGTTATTGACCAAGGTTTGCGCTTTTTGTGCAAAATTTGCATAGACGCAAGAGCCTTAGAATTGATTGTTAAAAATTGGACTTGGTTGAAAAATTGTTGGACATTTTTTTTTTAATAATGTAATTATAGCACGTTTTTGCTTCAATAATTTTTTTTAAGTGCACAATTTCTTTTGGTCACATGATTAGGGCTATTGTTTATAACATAAAGTTTTTTCTGAGGACTTGGCATTTGTATTAGTTCCGATACCCAAGATTTAGTTTTAGGTGAAATCGATAAAGTAGGACTATTACTGAAAAACAAATTTCTCGGTGATGTTGTTATAATATTATTGTATTTTTTCTTTGGTGTCGACACTTTTAAGTCTCCAGATGAATGTATATTAGATGGAGTGGGAAATTCTAAAAAAAGTCAATAATAATAAACATTTTAGGATTTATGCCAGTTGTTATGGGGACGTGCTTTATTAACAACAGTGGTAAATTTTAACTAGTGAACAATATAATAAAAACAGTCTATAATAAGTCAATATACAAATCATACCTATTAGCTTAAAAACCCAAATACTTAGTAGATGAACTACTGTAATTTTAAAATTAGAAATTTTGTTATTTATTAAGGTAGTGATCAGGCGTGATTTGTATATAACTCTTAAGTATGAATCTTTAACGACGGTAGGCGATAAGGCATTCCATTAGAGTATGAATATATTATTGTATTTATTAATCGATCGCGATCCGGCGATGGTGAGGTTTCAACTAACTGGACATCAGGGCCCCTGGCTTGGTGACCCGTGTACCGCTGTTTTCTACCCTATTGCCTCATTGACTAGTGATTAATAAGTATGTTTTGGGCAAGTGGTAACGACGGTTGGCCGAATGTACTCGTTACACATGTTATAGAGATAATAATTTTTTTTACATGTACGAAACGAGCGGCTAGAGGCTTTCCAAGTATACAGTATTAAACTGATAAAAAAATTATTATAATTGATTATAATCAGTATTATCTTAAATAGTTATTTAAGAAGCTGATATATTTTAGAAGTATTTATTTATTTATTGAGCCCTTGGCTCAGTTAAAAAAGCCTAGGTTTGTGTGTTTTGCACACTTAATACACTTGGTTAATGCGGCTCTGCCCGCCATGGGGATTGTCTAATCTGTCCCCCCGCAAATGACGCCACTAAACTAAATTTGACCCTACTCTGCAACTTCAATTAGTACTACAAGTAGTGCATTTGTAATCCTTTAATAATTAAGAGCTATTATTTAATTTCAATACCTCACATACCTTCAGTCACTCTTATTTTTTTTTGACATTTTGTCGGAGTAGTGTTCAATATTTTACTCACGTTGGCATTTTCTCCTAAATTCATACAAGAGATAATGTTATAGTGAGACAAATTTAAATAGGCTAAAATGTAATTAGTGTTCTATTATCACTAAAAAGTCCAGGGACGGAATTAGGACGTGAATATGGAAGACTATTCTAGTGGTGTCCACCAATAATTGTTTTTTATTATATGTCATTTAAGGTATCGCAGAAACATTTAAGGAAACAACTATTTTTTTTGTTAAGAAAATTAACATATTTAATAATGGTGTTTAGATTTATTTCATTATTTAAAAATTCTATAGGCTATAGGCGCAGTAAAATGTGTTTTATTTAGGTTGTTAATGAATCTTATAATTCAATATCTAATTTCTCGATGTTTTTAGTTTTTAGCAATGTGTACTTTAGATTCCATGTAGAGCTTCTTAATTTCATTGATGCGATATTTCCTTTCATGGTTTTTGGTTTTCTTCAAATACACAGACTATTGGACTTCATTAGAAATTAGCATACCAACAGTGTGTTTGAAAATTTCACGAAGCTTACAAATTCGAAATGGTACTTGAATTGGTATAACTGTTTAAATATTATTTTTACATTATAAAAAGTGACTAGTTACAAAACAAAAGTCACCTGTTTTGTATACGGGTTTGAACCGTGGATTGATCAGCTGGGATTCAGTAATAATACAATAAATAGTAACGAAATATAAGAGCAAAATAGTATATTAATCAATAAAATCTACATTTTTATGTGAATATGTGAAAAATTACATACATGCAGTAATTCAAGAACAGTTAATGTTATAATCAAACTATGAAGGAAAAAAACCTCGATAGATCATATTTTCAACTGTTTCCGCTGTGAATGTCCCATCTGAAAGTATAAAATATTAATTATTATACATTTTATCAGCAAACAAATCAGGGCAATTGAGTTGAGAATAACAATGTTACATTAAAAAAACGTCTTTGTTTCAAATAATCGTACGAATAGAATAATGTAATATCAAGTATCTCACGTTTTGCTATTTCTTTTTTTGTACATTAAAAAAGGTTTTTTGATTTGTTAGTTATTTTTCGAGTTTTAATATTTAGTTTGAAAAAAAAAAAATATTTACATCTAAAAAAATGACAAATTTTTTTATCATTATGTTTTTGCATTAGTTTTTGAACATTTTACTCGACACATTTATTGAATATTATTCTATTGTTTTATTACATTTCCAATGGGCCAAGAATTCCTCTTTGTCTGGTGCTCCTATGGTTACTTGCGGCGCTTTATCTGCTACTGTTTGGCATAATGCTTTGATATCTGTATAATTTTTTAAATCACCGGTCTTGCGTCGTACCTCTCTTTTTACTATTTCCTATTATTATAAAAGTAATAATTAGAAATTAAATAGTGTATTACAAGTTACAAATAAAACTGATTCCTCTTTAGCGAAATAAAAACTGCTATCTACAAGACACAAAATAGGCCATGAGGTTTTTATATGCAAAAAAAACATCAATTTTATAGTAGTTAACGTATTGATTTCATATTATGTAAAAAATGAGAGAAGATATTATATTTAAATTCTCTCTTACTGTATCAATAATTGGAAAAATTCGTTCAAAAATGGTTCTTCTATTAAATATCTTTTTATATGTAAAGAATGAGTGGAAAAATCATTTATTATAAAAATCCTGTCCGTTTTACTATTGGGAAGTACGTATATATTTTAGGTTTAAGAGAAAGATAATATCTATCGAGACCAGAAAAGAAAAAATGGCAGATGTCTAACTTTTTTGAAAGTTTGAATATCTCACAAAACCAACTTAATAATCCTTTTATCTGAAATATAGTATTATGGTTGTTATTTACCTTTAATTCTGGTTCTTTTGTAGCAGCAAACGCTAGGGCATAGGTCATAACATCATATTTATGAAACCTACGGTCTGAAAGTTCAAAATATTATACATTTTTTAAAAAAATGAATCAGGTCAAATGAGTTGAGAATAACTATGCGGTATACTAGTAAAATAATAGTAGTTTTTAGAATAGTAATGTAATAATAATATGGTCTCAATTTTCTTAATTTTTTATTAGGTTTTATTTGTTACTAACTCTTAGTTTAAAAAAAATACTTTTTTTTACTTATTACACTTGATTGTTAATGATGATGTCTTTTCAATGGTTTTTGACCATTTTACTCAACATATTTATTGAATATTTTTATAAATCGTTTAATTACCTGATTGTGATTCTAGGCTTTCAAATATATCCATATTGGCTTCTGGTATGTCAGCATCCTTAGCTACTTTGACACATATAGCTTTTATTCTATCAAATTTTACGACGCGATCTTGCTTCATAATTTGCTCGAATATACCTCTAACTAATCTCTATAATTTTCAGAATAAGAATTTAATTTTAAAATTTATTTTATAATTAACACAAAAACTAATCCTTCTTTAGCGAACCAAAACGCCAAACTATGAACAAACGTTTGGAGAAACCCCCCTTCCCCAGAAACTTTTTGAAGCGTACCCAGCATGCATGTTACGATAAAAATAATGTTCTTAAATTATTTTGGCCAAAAAAAACAAGAGAAAAAAAAATCATAAAAAATTGCAGACATGCAGCATATTAGGTTTTATTATAGGAAATTTTTTTTATTTAAATTTTTCATTTCTGTTAAAAAAAATGGAAGAAATCTTTTTGTAAGCTTATATTTATTTATTTTGTATGTAAGAAACCAGTAACAAAATCATTTTATGGTTTGAGAGAAAAAAATATCATTCGAAAAGCTGAGAATTTTTATATTAATAATAAAAACCTATACTTTTGAAAGTTATATGTTGTTATGTGTTAATTAAGTGTATGAGTTTTAAATGGGAAAATTAAAAGTTTGAATATTTTGAATATCCTAACACAAACAAACTAACGAGCTTTTAATCTGTAATATAGTTTTATAGTTTTTATTTACAAGTAAACTTGGATTTGTTTTAGCTGTATACGACAGGATGGCGATTACAGCTTGGTCATTTGTATATCGAAAACCTGAAAGTTCATAATAATATTTATTATTAAAATAACCAATTTAACAGCAAGGGAATCGAGAATAGTATCGTGTTACAGTTACAAAACATTTGTTTTTTATGTTAATGTAATTTTAGAATAATAAAGTCAATTCACATTATATATTTATAGTGATATTGGTTAATGAACTTATCACATGATAATTATCACATTTTATAATTTGTTTTGTACATCATCAAAATGTACCCGTTTTTTAAACTTTTTATTTGGTTTAAGAGTTATGATTTTTTGGTAAAAATTTTTTTTTAATTTTCAACTATATAAATAACAAAATTGATTATTAAATTGTTTTGTCAACATTTTTCTAATATCTATTACCGAAATCCATATTGTTTACATCAAGGTTTTTGACTATTGTATGTCCTACTTCGTTTATTACATTTTTTAATTGAGTAAAGTCCATTTTGCCATCATCTCCCACTTTTGACGCGATTTTTTCTTTAATCATAGTCTGTAATTTTCAGAATAAGTGTAAAAGTATGTTCAGTATAAGTGAAAAAAATTTTTTTAAGCGTAACTGGTGATTGTAAGAACATTAAATACATTTTTTAAACAATATATTTCTTCTCCAGTGAAACAATGGTGTAAGTGCAAATTTTTGACTTTTTGACTAGAGTACGAAAACAGTATGATAACATTTCATTTTATCGAGTAAAAAAACCATGGCATAAGTGTAATATCTATTATTGACCGCTAGAGAGCAGTTTTGTCGTTTACCAATCGTGTACGGTTACCATTGCACTAAAATTTTAAATCACGTTTTCTGATGAACAGTTAAATTTGCACTTGCACCATTGTTTCACCGGATAAGCGATATTACGTTTGGCATATGTTCAGAGTTTTGTCTTTTTTATTCGAATTATCTTTTTATTCAAAATTATTTAAGACTATTTATTCCAATACTTTTTTTAATCTACAAAATCTAAGATGCTTTTCAATATTTTTTATATGAAAAATTGCAATAAATTTTTTTTTAAATATGTCAACAATTATTAAACTAAATAAATCATGTAGTCTAAGCTTTTTATTCTATTTGAATAATAGTTATTCAAATTAATAATTATACGTCAATCTTTCGAAAAATTATTCGTCGGTCATTCGAATAAAAAAAATGATTTAAATAAATATTTAGGTAAACAATTTTTTAAATAATGTCCATCTCTGTATAAAGTTAAACAAAACTTTTAGTGTTATATCTCGATCATAATTAATAATAAGTGCTCGTTTACTTACTTTCTGTTCTTGAGTTGGGGGGACACCTTGACATTGGAAAAAGAATGACGTCACGGAAAAAAACAGTATACTTTTCAAATACATGTTAATTTATCAAAAAAATAAACTCGGATTTAGAATGTTAAATTAGTTTATGAAATTAAAACTGTTTTGAAACTATTCGATACTTATGAAGATTTTATAATGTAATTTGAGTATTGTATTGATTGGTGACTGTGATTCAAATAGTATAAATTAGCGCAGTACCTACTATAAGAACATATACTTCAGAACTGAACACAATTTCAAATTTGTTACAATTGTGTTGTGCCTTTGAAGTAAACAGTAAATATTCAAGAACATTGTTTGTTGCACTGTTTACTCATGTGCAAAACATATGCATATATTGCCAACGTTTTTCGATAGTGCTCAGTCTAAAGAATATTTCATACAATTCAACTTTTTTATACTAACATTTTTAAATATGTAATATTTTTGTTAGTACTTCTCGGTTTGAAAGGGGAATGGATAAACTATTTTTGGCCAATTAAGTTACTTTAAGTTTTTACTTATTGGTTAAAAACAATTAGGAGTTTCAACATACACGAAAACAAATTAAATGATAAATATATTTGATTTTGTTATAAAAAATGTATCTTGGTTAATGTCATGCTAACTTACAATAGATGGCATCAATAATAAAAAAAAATTTGAATACAAAAATAATATTGTTCTAACATAGTTCATTCTAATAATAATAATAATATACACAACACTTATAGTATAAAGGCCAATCAGGCGAATTAGGTTAGGTCAGTGGCGGTTCTGGCATTAAATTTTTGAGGAGGCAACAACTTTGTACCCTCATTGATAAAAAAAGCGCAAAACCCTAACACCTAAAATTTCTTCATACTGGTATACTTCCCTTTTTAACTATAACAGAAGACTTTTGCTTATTATCCTAGTTATTAGTTATAATCGCATTACCGGTCATCTAATAAAATAATTATCTATAAAATGTACGAACTTAAGATAAATGTATAATCATAAAAACATATGTAAATACAATTTACAAAAGATGAAATTGTAATCGCAAACGATTTTCTGTATGGATGTTGCTTCATAACCACTATACTGTCATATACAGGATTCATTTTGAAAAAAAATAATAAAGCTAATAAGTATAATAATATATTAACTAATAACTTAAGAAAACTAAATAAAACGCCATATAGTAAACCGGTATCAGAATTAAGTAAAAAATATAGCGATATCAAATTGCTACTGCAGATAAATGATTTAGTGATAACGGAAATGGCGTTTTGTTGTTGGCAGTGTCGGTGCTAATGTACATGCTGAATGTCTATGCCCCATTTCTTCCCCAAGATAAGAACGATCATCGGTCAGTTGCCCACAAAGGCAATATTTTTGTGTCGCCTCTCGCAGAGAATTGCGCATGCGCTATTCGTATTATTTTATGTATGTGTGTGTGTGTATGTTGTGAACACAACAACATAACGTGAGATATTAGCGGCAGCCGCCTCCGCCGGCTACCCTTATGCTACGTGTGTAACAACAGGCAGCGGCCGGCGGACGGCGGCCGTTGCATCCAGACGGTCACCGCTGATACGGAGAGACGTTATTTCAAATTCTTAAATTTTTTTTTCGCTTTCAAAATTAATTATTGTTCATATACATTTTTCGATTGAAAATATTTATTGTAAACCAAAATATCTCATCATAATAACAATATTAAGTACATAGTTTCATTAATTTTTAAGGGAGGCCTTCCCTTGCCTCCCCGGGAAAACCGCCACTGGGTTAGGTATATCGTAAATATATGTGTAAAATAATAAAAAATCGTAGAAATATAAGAAACATATTTTCCTTTTCCAAGTGTAAAAGGCTGTAATGTAAAAATATGTTATAACAAAATATAAAGCAAATGCTTAATTTTAAACAATATCGTATTGTGCAGAAAACAACATAATTCGACTCTCATGATTAAATTTTACTTAATATCATATGAAAAGAGTTATTCAATTTGGCGAGAATGGCTAATAATTTTGTAGTTTTGAAATATGTTTAAACATTGTACTGCTGATAGAGATTGAAGAACCAACAAAATTATAAACCCTTTCCCCTAGAAGGGATAGAATTTATTTTCTATATTTTATTTTTTCAATCAAAGTTTTAGGGTTTGAAAGGTAATCTAATATGGGGCTCTAGCACATACCAATTTCTCAAAAACCTGTAGTCAAACTTTCTTTTAAAAATGAAAACCCCTAAAAAAGGGAAAAATTACAGTTTGACTAAAGAAAATGTCCAGGTTGCTTCGTGTTAGTGAATGAATAATAAAAATAAAGATAAAGAATAATAATAAAATTGTTTAAATGTTTAAATCCTATATTAATATCTCAAATTTCTCAAATTTGTAGTATTCACTTCCTTGTCTTTTTAAGTAAATGAATTGGTTCTTCAAAAATTTACATCCACAATAACCTGAAAAAAAGCGGATAAGCTTCAATATTTTTTTGAAGAAAATTAAAATCCGATCATCCGAAGTAGGCGTAATTATGTCAAGTCTTTAAGTCTAAATTGGTTTCATGTACTACCAAAATGACTTTAAGCCGTAGAAAAAATTGTATACGTTAAAACTAGTACTAGAGGCGTATACAAATTTCAAATAAACCTAAAGACAAATTGATATGGTCCAAATTTATTAAAACCCTAAATATTACCTATATAATACTGATGATTAAATCCCGCCCGTTTTCAATCTCCATAATATTAGCTGGTTATTATTTTATTAGATGTATTTTTTATGTGGAAAAAGAAAACCTTTTCGGTTGCACATCTAGCATGAACGTAGAAAATACATGTATTTTCAAGAAAGGGCGGCTAAAAAAAATTCTGTGGGGGGCTATTGTCCCTTTGACAAAGCTAGACAAAATTGTTGTCTAAATAAATAGCGGCTCTTGTATCGTTACAATGATTTATTAAGTTGTGTTTTTCGATTTATCAGGCTATCTGATAATAAACAAGGCCAATTTCGAGGGACAGAGGCCTATCGGCCTAAGTACAATCTAGGTTGTAATACACGAGCAGATAAATATTGTACATGTGTATCGTTCAAAAAATAACATGTTTTCGTGTTAAACTAAAAATATATGTAGGTTTACTGTGTACGAATTTATCGGTTTGAAAAAAACAACAGATATCATTTAGCCAGGACACATTTTCTAAAAGCGATACCGAATTATCCGATTTAATATACTATACTATAATATGCTTCTTGATGGGGTACTATCAAATAAACTTGTTTGTCTTGTTTACTGCTTTTGTCCTTGTAAAATAAAACTCAATTAAAAACATGACAAATTTAAGTTACGCCTATATAAACAGGAACGGACCGTTTAAAACGTTCCGAAAGGCCTAACTCATAGCTTTTGATACTTTTTTTTTTACCTTTGACGTTCGGAGTTAACTCACAAATAAGATTACACCCCCCCCCCCCCACAAAAATCTATACGATATAAAAATTTAAAAGGGTAGAATACACGAGTAACAGAAAAAGAATGGAACTCATCCCGATTTTGAAGAATTTATATCCTTTCAATACGATTTAAAACTAAAATTAAAAACGTACTACAAACTATGCATCGAACAAGTATTGAAAAAAGTCTACCAGTTTTCAAAATAATTGTAGTTTTTCGCATTAGTTCATTTTAATCATATTTCATATTGCATATAACAGAAAACAGTTAGACTTAAATGTTTTAATACTTTATATTAGGTAATTATTAGCGTCTTGAATGGTTTATTCATACATTATCAGAGCATTTTTGAAAACCCCATCTACTTTTATACGTTGTTCATTAAAAATGTACTTGTAATGTTTAAAAATACAAAAAATTAATCAATTGATCAACGATTACATTAAAGGGATTGAATGCAGGAATGCATGTTATTATGGAAGTCGATTGTTGAATAACTGATTCATTTACTTCAAAAAGATGAATTTCAGCAAATAAAATAGGACTTAAACACAATTTTAAATGAAATATCATTAGTCGATTTTTACATTAACCTAGAAAAGTGGCCGATTTAGTCAAATATTTTTACATAATTGATATCTAACCATCCTGAGTTGGCCTAAAATGTCCAACAAACAGGCTACTTCAACCCCCTTAAAATATTCACTGGAATCAAACTTACAAATTTTACAACAGTTTTTGGCTACAATAAATTCTGACTTAAAGCATTTTCTTCAATGTCTAATAAGTAAGCATGCTGTTCCCAATACACGTTCAATCAAGATTGTCAATGTTTTATTTTCACTTTAAAATATCTATTTGTATCATAACCCTTTTTTGTGACTTACGAAAACCCTTAAAAAGTAAAACTTTTTTTTTTATATTAACTTTGAAATTTATAGAATATACGTGACATTTTGTATGTAGCCTTTGAGCTACTAGAGATGGGCTCTCCCTCCTTTAATTACACCTATGGATTTGTATGGGAAAAATCGCCTTCGATGATGTATCAAACCTATGTTTTCAAACAGGGTTTTGAACCCAATTTGTATTTGAATTTCACAGTAGTAATTTTCAAAACCGATTATGAGTCGATTGAACTATTTACCAACACGACGTTAACCGCTTTAAAATGTGCATGTATATAATGTGTCAATATTTTTGAAATCTTCAGTATAAAAACTCTCATATATACATATACATATGAATATCGTAAAAAGGCCTTTGCATAGTATGTTCTTTTTCGATTCCAGCAAGTATAATAATAATTTCAACCATTGCATCAGCCCCTAACCTAACCTAGCCGGTTGTTTTTTAAATTGTTCTCAATTAGCAATGTAAAGTATAAACAGATATTTTATCGAGCGTTTCAATTGAAAATCTATTCATTTGCTCCTAAAACGAAATTGTTATTGTGTTTTCTGCTGTTGTTGTCGTTGTAACCGTTCTTATTTGTGCACATGTTTCATATGCGAAAATATTTCACTAAAAAACCACTATATTTTTTTGTTCCATATAGGTCGGTACTATTAGTTTTTATAACTTTATGCGAATTGTTGTTTTCAATATTCCACAGTATTTTTTGTCCCTTCATATTATTTTTCTGTTCGAATATTTATAAAAGCCATTTTCATAGATCAAATAGATTTACACAATACAGTATACCTTGGTAACCTCTACTTTAAGTATAATTTTAATTCCTAAAACTACAAATAAAGAAAATAAGATTAATGAATCCCCCT